AGCGCTGCGTTCGCCACCGGCTGCCCTGGGCTGGGCCGCGCACCCTCGCCGAGCCCTTGAGACTTCTCCCTGGCGCAGGCTGCCGGTTTGGTGGAGGGACGGAGTTAGCGCTTTTCTGAGGCGGCCTTCAGCACCGCCGAGCGTCACTGCCCGTCTGCCTGGTCTCTGCCGTCGGTGCGCACCACGTGGAAAACTTCGTTGTAGTTTCACGAGTGGGCAGAGGGGGGCACCGTGCTTAGGTGCTTGTCTTAAGAAAGAATACTTCCAAAACGAGTATCAGGCTGATAGACAGCATGCCAGGCATTATCTCTCGACTGCGAATAGGTGGGTTCAGCGACACTTCACATAGCCCCTTTTTTCCCATAAGTAAACACGCTTATGCGAGAAGTGTTGCCAGAATATGCTAATTCAAGGTAGAACATGAAATGTCATGGAAGAGACACCTTTTTTTAGCTTTCTTGTTGCTTTGTGCTCAATAAATTTAACAATTTCTCATTTCTGCATTTGTCATCGCATCTCGATATTGCTATATAAGCTTGGAAACAACAACAGAGTAACAGCAATGTAGGGCGGTTTTTTTTTTTTAACAAACAGGTGTTGGTGAGCAGTTTGTTTCGTATGCAAATACACATTTACAAATAACGTCCTGCCAGTTTAGGACTAAATCTGGTGCTTTTTGCGATTTTACTGAACTTTATGAAATTACTTGTGTTTAGGTGAGAATGAGCTATGACTTCAGAAGCATAAAATAATTTTAATATAGTTTTTCAGGTATCAAAGTATTGTTTCAGATTTCTTTCTGTCATTGATTGCAGACTGGAGCTAGCAAAGGCTACGGATTCATAGAGTTTGAGTCCGATGACGTGGCTAAGATTGTTGCAGACACAATGAACAACTACCTGTTTTCTGAAAGACTGCTAAAGTGTAAGTATAAGCTGAAGTCTAAGTCCTCTGACGTGCAAAGGAAATTCGTAGTTATTTGTGTTATTTTTTTTGACTGTTTGGAGAATCTTAGGGTTTTTCATGAAGTTTTGTTCCAGAAAGATTTTCTGTGGGGCTGAGTTTTTCTTCTTTTTCTTCATGTGTAAAGAACATCCTCAGCAGCCTTTTTGTCACTACTGCTGTTTTTCCCTCTAGGCTGGTAATGCTCGTTGTGTGGTTGCATAACATGGAGTCTCAGGGAGCGGTGGGGTTTGCTGTGGAGACAGTTCCTTTAACGTGGAAATCCGTTGTCATTTGTAATTGTTGCAGCTGCTGTCTGTATAGTTAGACCTAAGGGGCTGTTTTGATTAAAATATTAATGACATTAGCAAGATTCTCAGACATGGTGATAGCAATGCTTGCTTTGTAAAGGATTATGAGCTATATGTGCATCAAGTTTTGAAAAACAAGTTTCTCTGTTTTCTGGGTGAAACTGAAAAAGTGTTCTTTTATTCCATCCATCCATTATCAGTTCTCTTACTAATGACTGTTTCGTTACTTTCCATTTTCTCTGTTCATAAAATGCTGTAGTGCTGCGCTGCCATAGCAGCGGACAGCATTGTGACAAGAACTGAGTAGCATTACATGAGCACATTTGGTGAGAAGGGTAGCTCTGCTATAACTTGATGTTATATGGTTATGATACAGGTCAGTTCATATCTCCTGAAAGGGTCCATGAAAACCTCTTCAAAAACAGTAATAGAAGATTTCTGAAGCCTTCTCAGCCAGCGGTCAGGCGGTACAATAAGATACGTTCACTCATTCAGAAAGCAAAGATGACAAAGCGGCTACTACGAAAGGAGAAACTTTTACAGAAGAGACTGGCTGAAAAGGGGCTTGATTATGACTTCCCAGGATTTGTAAGTTTGGCATCGTTTCGATGCGTGTTTTATGCAAAACATGTTTCTAAGGTTGTGGTAGATACAAGGAAATCATGTGTTTTGTGTGGAACTGGTGAAAGAGCTGGAGCGCCAGGGAGACTTGCTTGCATTAAGAACTGTATAGAAGCTCCTGGAAATTCGTGTAGTGCTGTTGCTGGGTTGTACTATATGTACATGTGGGTTTACCTTTAGAGAAGCAAATAAGTAACAGCAAAGGGAAGACATTCCTTTTTTTCTGTTAGTATAAACAGCTGGATATCCTGTGGTTTTCATATTTGTCTGTAGATCACAGACGAGCGCCAGGGCTTTTCCCAAGCCCTGTGGGGGGCTTTGGCAGGGTGGGTGTTCGAAGGCAGGTCCCAAGGCTAGAGCTTCCATCCCTAGACCTTGCCTATGCTAAGCAAGCATATTGCTCATTTGCAGAGTGCTTGGCTGAAGTACTTGAATTTTAAGCAATACTGTTTAACACGGTATTTTTTTAAAATGCACAGTAGCAGCTTTTTGTTCGTTGCTTTGGATGTTTTTGTTCAAATGAGATCACTGCTGTGGCGCTGTAAGTCATTTTACTAATTCAGACCTAATTGCTGTAGCAAAGATTTTGTAGTTATGAAGCAAAGAAACCTATAGACTGTGAAGTCATTGTTTGCATCTTCACACAAGGAAGTTGGTAGTGATCCGCCTGATCTGTCTTGCTTCCTAGGCTGCACAGGAGCTTTCCATAAAGAGAAAAAAAGCTAAAACATCCAGGAGGTCGAAAATGAACATTTCTTTGAGCAGCCAGGTAAGACCGAACAGTCCTTGTGGTGCCCAGCACCATGCCCCACTATTCACACTGGGGCAGATGTTTCAGGTCTGCAAGTGTTTTCTTTGTATTAATTTCAACACCTGGAAACCTGGATAGTATTCGCTTGAGAGATTTTTGTGCCAAAAGAAGCTCCTTTGAGATGGGTTAACACTGTTGAGCGGGGGAGGGTGGCTGGATCCTCTCAGTTTTTTTCTCCTGTGGGAGTACACAGCAGCAAAGGCTTCTGCTCGGCATGCTGTAACCAGCGGTGCTTGTCCCGAGGTGCGTCCAGGCAGCGGTGCGTCTGCTGTTCAGCACTGACTTGAGGCAGGAGAAACGCAGGGTGCTGGGGACAGTCACCTATACACCACCTACGTCTGTGCTTCAAACTGGTACAAAATGATCTCCTTGCTGGTGTCTGTGCTACATAATAACACCAGCTTGTTTTGACAAAAATGAAGTAGAACTGTTAATACAGTCTAGCATTGTCTGTCCCCACTTAGACACTCTACTGTTCTCCCTCATGCTCTCCAGGCATGGCATTCCAGTATTTTGAAAACTAATACCAGCTAAAACTAGCAGTAGGATGAAAGGGAAGCTCAGGTCATCAGGACTGAGATTTGGGGCACTGACAGTCTGTCTGAAAAGTCTGTCAGGTATTAACATTTCTGTTTTGTTTCATCACTGTTGTGAGTTTGTTTTGTTGGTTTTTTTTTTAATGTTACTGGATTTACTTGTGATAATTGGGACGGGGTGCTTGTGAGGAAGACAGGATAACTCATACATTCAGTCAGCTGAGTTCTGAGAACTTACTGACATAACGAAGCTGGGATGTTTCAGCTCTGCTTAGGGCTTGAATGTGGCATTTCTGTATGCCAGTCTCAAATACACCTTTTTTTTCCCCCCTCTGATTCTTTTTCTCTTGATTTTCTTAGTGCTTTGAGTCAGGAAATACAAAGTTTAGAAAGCAAATGTGCATAATAATGTATTAGAAAATGTGAATTAATTTCATTTGCCTTTCACATACACTTTTTTTGAAGGTGACACTTTTGTCTGAAAAAATATTGTCTACAAAAATAGCTAGTTATAAAAAGAAAACAATTTTCCCTAATGTGGAAGTTCTGAAGGAGAGCTGGACTGAGGTGCCTTGTGGTGCCACAGAAGCAGTCACAACTTTCTCTGGCAGATGCTTTGCAATGAATTGTGTTTTTCTGATCTCTTCAGGATCCTACTCCAGTCTGTACTCCATCAGTGCTCGAGCGCCGGAAAGCTTCTCAGGCGGATGATGACGCAGAGGACAATGAAATAACTCTCAGACTGCCACCTGCCAGTGTTAAGAATGCTGTGCAGAGACCAAAGAAGCAGCCAAGGAAAAGACCAAACGTGAAGAAACAGAAATAGACTTAAAATTTTGATGGCTGTAGCCATGTTTTTCCTCAACTCAAAAACTGGCAAGGTGGTGCCTCTAGTGGTCCTGCTGCCCTGGCTTGGTTCATCTTGACTAGATGGTTTCAGTCTTTCCTAGGCAAGGAATCTCTTCACAAATCCTCCCCCCCATCTATTTAGCCATCAGGGGATGACCTACAGTCTTCTCTGCCTTTGAAGATATTCTTGACTTTGTGCTCACAAGTGCCCATGCTGTGACACGACTACAGTCGTGCCAGAACCTTCAGTTAATTCTGTAACTTGTCTCTAGCGCTGACTGTTTTGAAAGAAAATGAGAAGGCTGTCCATTCAGAACTTGCTGATGCAGGCTGTATTTTACATTTATAATTAATGACGGGTTATAAAAAAAAAGTTACATTTTTCAACTGCGTTGGCTCTTGGTAGTGGTTCTTCCATTTAACTGAATGTCTGCGTTTCATGTGAGTTCTCGCATAGTTACACAAATAGAGGGTGAGTGATTTTTTCCCCAAGGGAGACATACCTTGAATTTCATCTCCTGTTTGTGACCAGTCAAGATCTGCCCGCACTGTCCCAGGCAGAGGCAGAGTACTGCGCTGCCTGAGCAAGCCAGTGCCTTTCAACCCTGCTTTCAGCAGTGCCTGGGAAACTCAGCCTTTGCCAGGATGTGGAGTAGTTGCAGAGGACTTGGAAAGGACTGGGATTAGGAAGGTGTAGGAGGCAGAGGAAGATGGCTGAAGTCACTCGCATTCAAGATTCCCATTCCTTTCCCTATGCAGGCAAAAGATTTGTGTTTGAGAGTGTACCCTACTATGGAGCACGTAGGGCGACTGTTCTGTCGGCCTGTGGCTTAACCAGAGTCACAGCTGTGCTGTCATTCCTCACACGCGTGTGTAGAAGGCATTTCACACTGCAGAGGTCCCAGGCGTGCATGTACCGATGTACCACGTAGGGTGACTGTTCTGTCGGCCTGTGGCTTAACCAGAGGCTGTGCTGTCATTCCTCACACGCGTGTGTAGAAGGCATTTCACACTGCAGAGGTCCCAGGCGTGCATGTACCGATGTACCGCTTTACCTCTGGGCTGACCAGGCAAAGGTAACTTGCTAATTCTCTGGTGTTTTCTGTGCCATAAACGTGCTGTTGCCTGGTTCAGAAAATGTTCAAGGATCTGTAAAGTGTGGCTGCTTTTAGGGGACTTCTTGCTGAACTGTGGGGGGGAGCAAGTGGTGACAACTAGCTTCTGTACAGCTGTTCTCAGACTGAGCAAGGCTCTTCAAGAAGGTGCATCAGTAATAGAGCAGTCTGGGTTGTATTAGGAGTTCTGGTGTCCTTCGGGCCCTGCAGCATCTTGTCACTGTATTTTAGTTTCACTGCCTGCGTGAAACAAGGGTATCGTCTGCTTCAGGGACTGATAAGCACGTTGCAATATTGTAATAAGCCTCTGGGTGGGTGAACCAGGAATGGGAAGGCAGGGTTTTGTCACCAGTAGTACGAGTTCAGAGAATTCAGTGTAGCTTTTTTGTTGTGCATCAGGATTTATTCTTGTTCCACCGTAACCTGTCGTAGCTGACTGCAGATATCCAGTCCTGTTTGAAGATGCAGTTTGACCGTGCAATTAAAATTTGGATGTTATTGCAAATCCGAGACCTGCAGAAATTCCAGTTTGGAATTTCTTAGCCTTGATCTTTTATTGTCTGAGATGAAACACACTCTACTGCTCTTGGCTGTAGGTCAGGCTTGGCAGAAGATTTCAGAGGAAAGCCCAGGTGATAATAACTGGCTGCTCACGTAGGTGGCTGGCACTAATTTCTTGGCTATTTTAAGACTCTGACTCCTGGCAGGGGAGAAGAAACCTGAACCATTGGCCTGGCTAATTCTGTCCTGTCTGGCCTGATCACTTGAATGATCATCTGATCGTAATGACATTCTCTTGGTGACTCAAATTAGATCATTCTCCTTTGTTGCTCTAAACTGTTGGGGAAGCCACTTGGGTGAGCGTGTCTTTATATCAAATGCTTGTCATCTTAGGCATGCTAGGGAAATCTGTTGACCAGCCTGATGGACACTGACAGTCCTTGCCTTTTAGTAGCAGTGTTGCTGTGTACACCTGCAGGCTTTCTTCTCTGTGCATTGTTGATGTGAAATGGGCAGTGTTTACACCTGAAACCTGTGGAAAATACATTCTCAGCTAAGGACTGAGATAAATGTTATCAGAGTGGTTGGCAGAAACTGCTGATCTGTTAGTAACTGACATGCAACTCTGAAAATACTTTTCTACCTCGACTTCATACAGCAGAGAGCAGCGGAGGAGAAGCAAAATGCGTCTGCCCAGAATGGACAGTTTTCTTTTAAAATCCTTGTTCCTCACTTTGTGTTGTGCCAACGAAGATGGCAGTTGGGTCAAGACGAACTAGAAATGTGGCTGCACTTGCTCCTGCCTGGAGCTGAGTCTCTTGGGCGCAGTCTGACACCGGGGGGCAGCACGCTTCAGCGTGTGGGGACGTGCTGGCCTCAGAAACGCTGCACAAGCTTTCCTGGGAAATGACCTCCTGGATTTATAAAGAAACCTGTCTAGTCCAGGCAGTTTGGAGTGACTGGCTGCATTGGTGTGACTAACGCATCTCTAGCACGATTTAGGAATACAGGAGAAACCTGATATGGATCTTAATCAAATATTGCCCATTTCTTTGGTGCTGCCACAAATAATACTTCCAAGGCTGTTGAGTTAAAGCTGCTCTTAAGAAAACTTAGTTTATCTAGAGTAACTTCTCCAGTGCAGTTCCATGTTCACCGATGCTTGAGCAGCCCCCTTCCTGTGCTTCCCATTCCAACCCCTTGGCCTGCATTTTGAACCTGGAGTTGCTTTCTTCCTACTCTGCTTCTGCCACTGTGCTCCTCTCTGTGCACGGTGTTCTGCCCCTGCCTGGAAGCCTGTGTCTGCTTGCTGCTTTCTTACGTGTTTGACTCTGTGGCTTCTTTTCATGCTGCTTGCCGTGCCTGAGCTATCCTCTCTAGCTGCATGAGCTTCCAGGGACTTAACGCTTCTGCAGATCCCTTGAAAATGTTTATGCCTTTAAGCTAGCACCCTGGTTGCTGCTCGCTCTCCATATTCGTGTGGTAGGGCAAGCCTTGATGGGAAGACATTCGAGAAAGCTGTGCTTACAATAAGGTTTGCTTCCTGCTGTAATTTTCCTTTCCCTTCCTTTTGTTTATTGGTCTTCCTTCAATTGAGATCAGCTTAGATGGCAAATCTGAAAAGCGAGGAAACAAAATTCTGTGCTGTTTGAGTAAAGCACAACAACAATACCCAGGCTACAGCAAGGAACTCTCAGCAAAAGGGTAGCTTTTCTTGGTGATAGTTTCTGTTTTTAGGCTGTCCGTGTTATTAATATACTGCTGTCCTGGGAGATGTACAGAAGCAGAAATTCAGACATCTGATACTGGCCAAACATAGTTTCCGTAGCAAGTGGACAGGCGTGCTGTGTCATGAGTTATGCTTCAGTCCTTGCACCGATTTTCATTTCCCAGCTCTCCAGTCATTTGTTCATTCATCTTGGACAAACACAAGCCTCCCGGCCACTGATGTTAGGGCAGGCTGTGAACTCTTTTTACTGGGATGCTAGGAGTGTTGGGGCTTTGGCTCCAAAGCATAACTTGCCAGTACTCTGCCTTTCTGTAATGAATGACTTTGTGGAGCTGGTTTACCGAATACCTATGTATGTAGTACTGTTTTCAAGCTTCAGGAACACTTTGGAACACTGGAAGTAAAAGAAGGATGGGGCGGTGGTGGGTGGAGAAAAGCAGAACTGCCTGCAAAATAGAGGGGAGAAAGGAATGATGAAGCCAATGCTCACCTCTAGAGAAAAAAGCATTGGTGAATTTGGCAGTGTTAGACTGCTTGAAATGAAAGATGTGGTTTGATGTTGTTTCACCTGTTAGACGTGCTGTGGGATGCCCAGGCTGCGCAGTGTGTCACGACTGTGCTGCAAACCATGGTCCGAGTGCTAGTGCTTGCTCACGAGCCCTGAGTGGAGGAGGAGAGCAGGCTGGGCAAGTGATGCTTGCTCTTGCCAGTAACAAGCCTGTTTGCTTGCATACCTGGCTTTTAAAATGGCTGCAGCCCCGAGGAACAAAGCTAAAACCTGTCTGCAGATAGCTCGTGGTGCAAGGGAGGATTTCTGCGTGGCTCTGAGGGGTGGCATCCTCTCCCAGTAAAGCCCCAGCGAGGCAGAGGGTAGCTCTAGCAAATTCCTCCTCCCCCGGCTTTCCCTTCGGAGTGCTGGAGTGTTTGGTTCTCACTTTGCCTGTGTGATGCAGCTGGCCAGGGTAGGGCTGTGTTGTGTGAGGTGCTGTGCACATCCTTGCCCCAGGTAGGGTGTTGCAGGTGAAAGCCGGGCAAGTGGGTAACAGGAGTATGGTGGATCTGATCTCCATTAGGTGTTTTCCAGGAGTATCCACGAGTCCTTCTCTCAGACCAGACTCCTTCGCTGTCCAAGATGGCGTTCAAACACATCCCGTTGCCCAGAGTTTACAATCTAACCCACAAAGTCTTGAAACGCCCAACTCCAGGCAGCAATAATCTGCGCCTTCTTGGCCAGAGATACGCGGGGGACCACCACAGGGTGCTGCTGGAACGGAGGCGGCGGGCAGGGCCGTTCTGTGCGTCAGGCTGCTGCCTGGCTCCGCTAATCCAGGCACATCCCTCCCTGCCCAAGGCCAACAGCTGTCAGAGCAAGCTGAGGAAATGGTTAACTGCACGAGTGAGAATTGCTGAAGTGAAACATTTTCTCCCATGCAGGGTGCAGCAAGGCCTCTCATCGCTTTTCCCATCCAGCATTAATTAAGCAGATGGCAGGGACAGAGATGCTGGCTGTCCTGGGAGGCTTGGACTAGTTACACACCTGAGTGCCGGTGGCCAGTAACTATCTCCTGTGCTGGGAAAGGACGAGTTACAGAGAAGCTCCTACACAAGTCTTGGCTCTGATCAGGGAAGAAA